CAGGACCCTGGCCCCTGGGGAGGCTGTACAGCATGGGGCAGACCTCACAGCTGGGGAGGAGCGTGCTGGCGCTTTCAGTCCCCTCCTGCCCTTGGGAGGCGGCTGGGATACGTCCCCTTGATCCCGGAGTGCCGCTGGCATGGGGGAGCGTTGGCTCCCCAGCAGCTCTCCCACAGCCTTGCTCCTCGTGTCCGCGTGCTGCCGCTCAGCCCAGCCCTCCACCGGGCTCCCGTTCCTGGAGCCGCTTTGGCCATGGCACTGCCAGAGCTGCTGCCCCAGCGCGGGAACGCAGCGCTTAAGCCAGATCAATGTTTTTCCTAAGGCCCTGTAGGGTTAAACCAATTGGGCATGTGGCTGACCCTGGGGTCACAATGCAGCCAGGGAGGGGATGGCTCTGCGCCTGTGGCCAAAGCCCATCTCAGGGTGGGGTGGGATGCCCAGCCTCTGATCCTGGGGAGGGGGAAGAGATATGCAGGGATAGCCTCCTGGGGCATATCCCCACTCCAGCCCCTGCCGCACCCGTGGCCCAGCCCTCCATCTGCTTCTCTGCTCTGGCCCTCCCTTGCTGGGGCAGGGATGGGAGTGCACCCTGTAGTGGCTCCCCCCTGCTGCTCTGGCAGCTCGCAGCATGTGTGCAAACACATGGACAGGCATGCATGCAAACACGTGTGTACACCTGTGCACACATACACGTGTGAGTACATACATGTGAGCACAACTCCCCCCTCGAGAAACACACCCTCCCGCAAACACGAGTCATTCCCCACACATGCAAACACGTATGGCCAAACTTGTGCATTCGCACACGCTTACAGAAATACAGATGCCCCCATGCATGCAGACACAGAGCCCTCCCCCAGGCCCCCCACGCTGGGGGCCGCGCTAGGCGGGTTGATGGATTGTGCCACACACAGCTCAGCACTGCCGGTCTATCGGCCGGGATCTCGGCCGCGCGGGCTAATCCAGCCCTGACATCACATTCCTCCGCAGTGGGACTCCGGGGCTGTTAACCCTGCTGGGGCTGGGCCTGAGCGGGAGGTGCTGGG